TTAAGGATCTATTTATTAAGGGTCTAGTGATTTTATAGAAGTAAACCTGAGGGTAGGCAAGGAGAAATCCCACAGGGAGGTTATCGTCCCTGCCCTGCCGAGATGAAATCAGGCTGTCCGGGCCTATGTTATTTCACTGCCGGTCGTTTAGCCCAAGTCTGTCAGTCTGGAATGTACCTTAAGTTGGACCTGATTATTTTAGAAACATGGAATGATTTAAAAAATGTTTTTTCGATTGTTCCGGTGGTTAGGGCTGGACATTTTATGTTCCGACAGCCCGCTTAGTCCACCTAGGGTATGATTTGAAAAGCAGCTGGTAATGAAATTGAAGTATTTTTATGTGGATAGGAATCTGAGGGTAGGCAAGGAGAAATCCCACAGGGAGGTTATCGTCCCTGCCCTGCCGAGATGAAATCAGGCCGTCCGGGCCTATGTTATTTCACTGCCGGTCGTTTAGCCCAAGCCTGTCAGTCTCGGAGGTTGTGTTAAATTGGGCCGATTTACGGTATGTATTTCAATAAAACAGAACCGAACGAGTTTCAGTCGGTTACTATGGTAATGTCCATGTCACTGGACTAGAACCAGGAATAGAGTTAAACCTGGGATGATTTTTACAAAGGTTAGATTAAACCTTGAGTGATTTTTACTAAGGTTAGATTAAACTTGGGATGATATTTACAAAGGTTAGATTAAACCTTGATGATTTTTACTAAGGTTAGATTAAACCTGGGATGATTTTTACAAAGGTTAGATTAAACCTGGAGTGATTTTATAGAAGTAAACCTGAGGGTAGGCAAGGAGAAATCCCACAGGGAGGTTATCGTCCCTGCCCTGCCGAGATGAAATCAGGCTGTCCGGGCCTATGATATTTCACTGCCGGTCATTTAGTCCAACTCTGTCAGTCTTGGATGGTACGTTAAATTGGGCCTATTTACGGCATGTATTTGAATGAAACAAATGAACGAGTTTCAGTCCTGTACTATGGTAATGTCCATGTCACTGGACTAGAACCAGGAATAGAATTAAACCTGGGATGATTTTTACAAAGGTTAGATTAAACCTGGGATGATTTTTACAAACGTTAGATTAAACCTGGGATGATTTTTATAAAGGTTAGATTAATCCTGGGATGATTTTACAAAGGTTAGATTAATCCTGGAGTGATTTTATTGAAGTAAACCTGAGGGTAGGGAAGGAGAAATCCCACAGGGAGGTCATCGTCCCTGCCCTGCTGAGATGCTCTCAATATTAATAATAGCAATTGATGACCATGGACCCTGCTCTGTTGAGATGCTCTTTGTCGAATTAATGATAGCAATTGATGACCATGGACCCTGCTCTGTCGAGATGCTCTCTGTCATATTAATGATTCCAAGGTCTTTATGGAACTAATCTTTTCTACCAATCATATCATGGCAGTCAGTCCATCCATTGAATGTATATTGTAAAACCACCACTAATGCTATTTTCTCTATTTTAGTTTATGGTAAAGTAAATATGATAAAAGGGATATGGTGAAGAGTGAAGTATTATGGGTAGGCTGGGAGTAGATCCCTCAGGGAACTCATCGACCCTGCCTTGCCGAGATGGTCTGTCCGTCACTCCAGTGGGTGTGTTTTGATAAATTACCAAGTCTGTTGGTGGTCAGTTGTGTTGGTCAGTTCTGTGGGACTATTTTGTTGGAACTACCAAGTCTGTTAGTGATCTGTTAGTGGTCTGTTGGTGGTCAGTTGTGTTAGTCAGTCCATTGGTTTAAGTTTGTTGCCAGGTTTGTTTGTGGTCACTAATTCTATTTTCTCTATTTTAGTTTATGGTAAAGAAAATATGATAAAAGAAATATTGTGAAGAGTGAAGTATTATGGGTAGGCGGGGAGTAGATCCTTCAGGGAATCCATCGACCCTGCCTTGCCAAGATGGTCTGTCTGTCTAGTTGCAGTATATTGTTAAAACTACCAAGTCTGTTGGTGGTCAGTTGTGTTGTTCAGTTCTGTTGGTCTGTGTTGTTGGAACTACCAAGTCTGTTGGTGGTCAGTCGTGTTTGTCAGTTCTGTGGGTCTATTTTGTTGGAACTGCCAAGTCTGTTGGTGATCTGTTTTGTTTGTCAGTTATGTTGGTCTATTTTGTTGGAACTGCCAAGTCTGTTGGTGGTCAGTGGTGTTTGTCAGTTCAGTGGGTCTATTTTGTTGGAAGTGCCAAGTCTGTTGGTGGTCTGTTTTGTTGGTCAGTTCTATTGGTCTATTTTGTTGGAACTGCCAAGTCTCTTGGTGGTCAGTTGTGTTGGTCAGTTCTGTTGGTCTATTTTGTTGGAAGTGTCAAGTCTGTTGGTGGTCAGTTGTGTTGGTCAGTTCTGTGGGTCTATTTTGTTGAAACTGCCAAGTCTGTTGGTGGTCAGTTGTGTTTGTCAGTTCTGTGGGTCTATTTTGTTGGAACTGCCAAGTCTGTTGGTAGTCACTAATGTTTGTCAGTTCCCTAATGGAACTCCTCGACCCTGCATTGAATTTGTTTTAACTGCTTAATATACTTACCTGTTTTATGATTATAGTAAAAGTATAATGGATTATGGTAAAAAGTAATGGAACTATGTTAGATATGGTGAAAAATTGGTGGAAATATAGCAACACTGGATAAAGATTGGTAGGTGTAGTTTTAATATATCTTAGTGAACGAGGTGACAGACAGACATATCCTATATAGAATATATCCACCCTGCAAATTTATGTTCATTTATTTCTTTTCTTGATAGAGTATGGTAAAATGCTATGAAAATTATGTTGAACTTGGTGGAAATATGGTAGAAATATGGCAACTCTTGGTGCAAAGTGGTAGGTGTAGTTTTACATATTCAAATTCTTAAATAGGTAGGCAGGAATCAAATCATTGAACCTAGCAACAGTCCCTTGTTGAGAGTGTGCTCATCAATTCATAAACTATGTTTTAATGCCGTATTTGTTTATGATCTGTTATAATTTTGATCAATTATTTTAAGGTTTTGGAGGATAATGAAATAAAGTTATAAGTATGGTAGCATTGGTGGAAAAATATGGTGGAATTTTGACAAACTTAATGGAAAATTGGTAGGTGTATTTATTTTTCAAATCAACCCTTCCTTGTCCATCCATTAGGTATATATTGTTTAAATACCACCTATTTTTGTTCTCTCATATCTTGTCTGATAATTTTGTAGGAAATATGGTAGATTATAGTTGAAGTGTAGCAGAAGGTAATTAATGAATAGTGGTAATATAGTTAACTTTGGTGGAAATTGGTAGGTGTATTTATATTCCAATTACTGGACTGTTATATTCATGGTACCAACCGACCCATCCTTGCCTCTCCATTGGGTGTATATCGTTTAAATGTCAAAGATAATTGTATCCACTCAATTCTTATTTTGATATTTTTGTAGATTGTGGTAAAATAGAGCAGAAGATGGTTAAGATAGTTAGATAGCTGTTAATTGGAGTACCAGTATATCATTTAACAGCCGAGTCTGTTAGTAATCTCTCATGTCCATCAGTCCAAGGGGTGTATATTATATAAACAGCTGAGTCTGTTGGTGGTCACTTATGGCCGTCAATCATGAGGGTGTATATTACTTAAACAGCTGAGTCTGTTGGTGGTCACTTATGGCCGTCAGTCATGTGGGTGTATATTGTTTGAACTACCAAGTCTGTTGGTGGTCACTCATGTCCATCAGTCATCTGGGTGTATATTGTTTGAACTACCAAGTCTGTTGGTGGTCACTCATGTCCGTCAGTCATCTGGGTGTATATTGTTTGAACTACCAAGTCTGTTGGTGGTCAGTCATGTCCATTAGTCCAGAGGTGTATATTATTTAAACAGCTGAGTCTGTTGGTGGTCACTTATGGCCGTCAGTCATGTGGGTGTATATTGTTTGAACTACCAAGTCTGTTGGTGGTCACTCATGTCCGTCAGTCATCTGGGTGTATATTGTTTGAACTACCAAGTCTGTTGGTGGTCACTCATGTCCGTCAGTCATCTGGGTGTATATTGTTTGAACTACCAAGTCTGTTGGTGGTCAGTCATGTCCATTAGTCCAGAGTGTGTAAATCATTTCTACTGCCAAGTCTGTTGGTGGTCACTCATGTCCGTCAGTCCAGTGGGTGTATATCATTTCTACTGCCAAGTCTGTTAGTGATCACTCATGTCCGTTGGTCCAGTGGGTGTATATCATTTCTACTGCCAAGTCTGTTAGTGATCACTCGTGTCCGTCAGTCATCTTGGTGTATATTACTTAAACAGTCGAGTATGTTGGTGGTCATTTATGTCCATCAGTCCAGTGGGTGTATGTTTTACCACCTCATCTGTGGGTGGAATTGTCATTTGTGTTTATCTGTTCTATGTTGTGTGTAGGCCTATTATTGTCTATGTCTGTCAGTCGACTGATTTGTATATTTTTGTTATTGTTATTAATTATTATGTCACTTTGTCACTAATCATATTTTTCCTTTAACTAATCAGTTTTTGTTTTTTACAGAAAATATATTGCAATGATATTTGTTTCTGAAATTGATGGTCTATTTTCCAAATACAAGTTGTAGTTTGGTTTGAAAATATTGACCTCAATTTTGATACAGATGTTCATTCCAATATGGTCTTTGCTCCGTTTTATTGTATTACGCCTACCAACGAAGATGATCCACCAATAAGATGATCCACCAAAGAAGAGATGGTGGAGCAAAGA